ATACTAAAACATACTAAAAATTCTATTAAAATTTAAAAAAAACTAGGTGCCAAGTTGAAAAAGAAAGCATCTACAGTGTGATTCAGTTAGCAGTGATGTTCTTTCAACATCATGGTTCTGTTCTGTTAGCGGCATGGTCTTGTTAGCAGGTCCAGTCCGCAGCTTGATGATAATAACGACCGCAGCAGCTGCTCTCACAGACCACAGTCCAGAACCGGGTCCGGCAGACAGAGAACAGCCAAGGTTTTCCCCGCGGAGCCGAACGTTTATGTTGATAAATGATTTGCTTTTAACATTTTAACATTTCACAGTGGTGTGATTTTTAAACATTACCACCTCAGTCAGTTTGGCTTTATATCATTAAACAGGCCATAAATGACACTGTGCTACGTCAGAGGTGCTACAGCCGGCTGCTGCTGCTGCTAAAATAGCTTTCAGATGAACCTTTGAATCTCCGTACATAACCATGCAGTTATTGGCAAGTCTAGAGAAACTGTATTTTCTGTGAAAATCCTGGATGGATTTGGAGCTAAATGGCTTCACTGGAACTTGCTGAAGAAGCTGAAATTCCAGCTCTTTGGAAAGAAAAGCTAAAACAACCTGAATGTTTGTTTTTAGTTCCACCTGGCTCTCCGTTTGGTCGGGCCAGTGTGAAAAGCGGCGGGAAGATGGACAGCTCTTCTTACTTCCGGCGTAAAGAGAAGAGGTTTCGCTTCTTCATCCGCCGGATGGTGAAGGCTCAGAGTTTCTACTGGATCGTTCTGTGCCTGGTGGGCCTCAACACTTTGTGTGTGGCCATCGTGCACTACGACCAACCCGAGTGGCTGACCAGAGCGCTCTGTAAGTGAAACCACCGGTGATCAGACGTATACGAAGGCGTTCCTTTAACGTTCTGATTTGTGAATGTCCCACCAGACACAGCTGAGATCGTGTTTCTGGGTTTGTTTCTGACTGAGATGACTTTGAAGATGTACGGCCTCGGAGGAAGAAACTACTTCCACTCGTCCTTCAATTGCTTTGATTTCGGGGTGAGTTACTTTAAACAGTTTTGTTTGATGAGGCTTATGACTAAAGCCGATGTGATTTGTTACAGTCAGCACGACTTTTCCTGGTTTTTTTACATCTATGTCAGCAGACTGTGCTTTTTTAGACATTTATTTATCAAAATGTTTAGCTCATTGGGGAAGTTTGTTCTCCAACTTCTTTACACCTTTTAACTTTTAGTATGTGTGTGTATATATATATATATATTTTTTCTAAATATTCAACTTTATTGAACAGCACTTCCCCAAATAAATGCACAGCAGTCACTTTAATTTCACCAAAAACATTTTCTTTTAAATCCACTTCAGCGTACCTGCCCTGTTATTCTACATATTCTACTTTTAGCTACATTTCTACAACTTTTAGCTTTCAGCTAACCCTTGCCTCATTTACCGTTTCGCTAACGTTTTTCTACTTTTACTTTTTTATTAACTTTATTTTTTTCTTTTGGCTAGCCAACTGTTACTTTTATTGTCAAGCCAACCTTTGGTTTTTAAGCTTCTTGTTAGCATTTTACTACTTTTAGCTTTTTTGCTACATTTTGATTTTAGTCAACATTTTTTAACATGTAGCTTTTAGCTAGCCTTTTAGTGCTTGCATCTTTTATCCAGCTTTTTGCTACTTTTGCTACAGCTGTTCCTTGTTGTAGTTTCTAGCTAGCATTTTGATACTTTTAGCTTTTAGGCAGTATTTATTTCCTTTAGGATTGCCATTTGATACTTTACATTCTAGCCTTTGCTATTTTTAGCCTTTTGCTCGTTTTTTTTTTTCAGCTGGTCTATTGCTGCTTGAAGTTTATTGTGTTATATTTAGTTTCTAGCTAGCATTAGCTGATTTACTAAATACCTGTTGTTTCTAGTTAGCATTAGCTGATTTACTAAATACCTGTTGTTTCTAGTTAGCATTTTACTGCTTTTAACTTTTAAACTTTTATAGTTGTTCTTTTCAATTCCCATTTGCTGATTTTAGCCTTCTAGTGTTTTAACTGTTTCAAGTTTTTGATATTGTTTTGCTTCTATTAGTTCTGCTTTTAGAATTAACATCTGAGTTTGAGCTTCTTCAGCAGTCATTCAGCGCTCAACAGTAATGCATCATCATAACAAAAACCTAGAGTTACTAATGACCTGCTGTAACTTGGATAACCAGGTCTTCCTCTGTTTCTGCTCAGCAACGTCCTAAAATAAATAATATGTATGTGCAGCATCAAATAAATGTTTATTTTTAAACATTCTTGGCTACATATCCCACACTGGTTAAACACATGCACCATATCGTGAATAAAACCCTTGAACTCTTCATGTTGTTGTGTCTGCAGGTGATTGTGGGAAGTATCTGTGAAGTCATCTGGGACATGATTAAACCAGGAGCGTCGTTTGGCATCAGTGTGCTGCGAGCCTTGAGACTTCTCAGGATTTTCAAAGTCACCAAGTGAGTTCAATTCAGGAAACTAAACAAACAAAAAGTAGAAAATGAAAAGAAAGATAAAAAAGCACAAATGTCAACCCACTAGCCTTATATGACACGTTTAAAGAACTTTATTCCATCTTTTTGGTCTAAAATCTGTCCAGCAGCATCTTGAGTAAGGATGACCTAAAATGTATCCACTGTTTGCTTTCTGGGAGTTTTGTTAAAATTTGTTCCTTGCTTTGAAATGTTTTGCTATCACAACAAACAAACATTATATTAATAGGAGGGCAATAATTTTAAGTACCAAAAGGCTGTAAACGTCCCATGCCTAAATACATCTGAGCTAATAATGTGAATTAATTAAATTAGATTGCCTCATTTAAATGTAGCAGTTAAATTATTATTTATGTCAGAAAGTCCCAATATGGTCCTTACATGGTTTTTCTACAAAATAACCCATTGGTTCAGTTAATTTGTGCATTCCTAAGCTAATAAAACTGGACTTTTTACTTGCATGGGCTAAGTCAGGCAAAGTATATACAGTAAATTTTAAATATTTATATACAAACTGAGATCATTTCACCTTTTAGTTGTTCCCAGGCGGAAATAATCTACATAATTATTTTGCTCCTGCAAGGGAATAATTGGGTCTTTAAAGCAAAGAGAGTAAATATGTTTTAAATGTATTCAAAAAGTATATATATTTTTTTATTTAACTCTAATATTCTGATGTATTTGCTGTAAGTTTACCAATGAAAAGTCTATTCAACAGCCATCTTCAGGATTTCTGTTCTTCTGTTTGCCTCTCCTGCTTCCTGTCAGATACTGGAACTCGTTGAGGAACCTTGTCGTTTCCCTCCTGAACTCCATGAAGTCCATCATCAGTTTGCTCTTCCTCCTGTTCCTCTTCATCGTGGTCTTTGCCTTACTGGGCATGCAGCTCTTCGGAGGACAGTGAGTGAATCGTACAGATTGTCTTTTTCCTCCTCCCTCCTCAGGAACACTCCCCTTGTGCCACACGGATCCTCCTGTCTGCTCCTTTATCTATCTTCTCTTCTCCTCCTCCCTTCGGTGTCTGATCTGTGGCGACGGGGACAGGCATGTTGGCGCAGCAGGTCGCCGGCTGAGCAGCAGCTCTTTGAATGTCGCTCCCAGCAGGAGCGCCATGTCGTCTAATGGCAGGAACACTTCATGGTCCCAGTCTGGCATCAGATAATCAAAGGCCTGGCATCTGCCCCCGTTCTGAATCAATTTGCACACAGACCGTTTATATTTCACCCCACAACGCCGCTGGGAACACACACAATGTGTAAAATGGCTAAAAACGTGTCACTTTCACAGGATTTGTGCTCATTTTTGGTGTGGTAGCAGCTGAGAGTCGTCCCCAAAACATTATCTGAGCTCTGACTGATTGCACAATTTAACCTTAAACTATTTGTCAACTCTGTCAGTTGTCTCGTGAACCACTTCTTTTTTTTTTCTTCTAGTTTCTCATATTTTCTGTAAATGGATCCAATCAGATTCTTTAAACTGTGTGTATCCAGGCAGAACTATGTTTGCAGGAGCTTTTCACTGGTCAGGACTTCACTGTCAGAAGAGAAGGCTGAGCTCACTCGAAGTTTCTGCAGGACTTTATTTAAAAACTGACGGGAAAATTAACCAATCACAACGTTGATGCAGCGTGGGCGGGACCAAAACGCATGAGCTGAGCCTTCAGGACGAACATGCTGATGTTTTTGTTTTTTGGACCTTGACAAGATGTGTGATGCATTCAACTGCAACCTGTAAATTCAAGTATCCACCCTGAAATTCTAGTTGCTCTAAAACAGAGGTGGGCAACGTTTTTTTTTTCTAAAGGGCCACATCAAGACATTTAAAGCGATCAAAGGGCTGCATAAAGAATTGGAAAATAAATGTTCTTAATGACGGATAATCTAGAAGACATTTTTTAGTTTTTTTTCTTATTGTAACATAGTTAGCATGTTTATATATATAAACTAAGAATATTGAGAGCCTGATGGAGACTGTCCAAGAGCCAGATTTGGCCCTCGGGCCTTGCGTTGCCCACGTCTGCTCTAAAAGACCCTGCTCTTATAGTCACGGTTTACTACTGCACCACATGCACATACTTTGATTTAACCAAAACTGCTCAAACTGTTAAATTTCTCAATATAAGACGACTCCTCCGTTTGAACCTTTGTAATAAAGATGGCGGGCGATGCGCATTCCTTCAACATTTACTAGGTATTTTGTCTTCAGTGATATTTTATATTTTCAACTTAACTTGCAAACCTAAATATCTAAAGGCAAATAATCTGCTTTTTTATTATCATGCATTCTTCAGTCAACGTTCTTCAGACAAACTGAAACAGAATCAAAACAATAATAATAATTGTTTTTAAATTGTTTATCAAATTTTTTCTTGCTAGTGAATGTTTCATCTCCACGTCCCTGATTCAACTTCAATATTTTACAGTATTTATTAATCCACGCACGTCCGTAGCGAAGCTGGATGCTTTATAATATAAACCAGCTGCTATTGTATTCAGGATTAGACGGACTGAAGTGGAAGGAACAAACTTGCGGGGAGTTGAGCGTCACGTGACTCCTGTTTTCAGGACGGAGTAAACAAAGTCTTCGCGGACGAGTCAGGAAAGCTGAGCTGCGTGCGCTCAATCCCCATTATCAGAGTAAACAGAGGTCCAAACTCAGCTGCAGCAGCCGTACGTCCCAGACTAATCCCTGCTGAAGGAGAGGAGGAACGAGTGAGGTGACGAAGGATGAGAAAAGAAGGGAGGAAGGGCTGAGGTGAAAAGAGAGGATGCAGGGATGAAGCAGAAGTTGCTAAATGGAGAAGAATATCACAAAATAAAAGGAGAAACTGAAGGAGGTAAAGCTAGAATAAGTGGAACATTAGCTTAAAGCTAAGAGCCTAAATTAGCCATATTCTAGCCAAAAGTAGCAAAACACTGGACTAAAAGCTGAAACTAGCAAACGGCTAGCTAGAGGCTAAAAATATCAAACGTCTAGATAACGACTTAAATTATCAAAGCATTAGCTAAAAGCAGAAAGGGGTTAAATAAAAGTTAATAGTAGCAAAAGTCTAGTCACAGTTGATTGCTAAAACAGCAGCAAATTGTTAGCTAAACGCTAAAAGTAGCAAAGTATTAGCTAGAAGCAAAATAAAAAGGTTAAATAAAAACTAAAAATAGCAAAACGCTAATCAGAAATAACAATAGTTAAAGGTAGCCAGGTGCCAGCTAACAGCTAAAATAATCAAAATGCTAGCTAAAAGTAGTTAAATGCTAGTGTAAACAACAACAACACTATCTAAAAGTAAGGAAGTGCTAGCTAACCTCTAAAATAATCAATAGGCTTGCTAAAAGCAGAAAAAGGTTAAATAAAAGCTAAAAGTAGGAAAACGCTAGTGTAAAATAACATTAGCTAAAAGTAAAGAAGTGCCCGCTAACAGCTAAAAGGATCAAAACATTAGCTAAAAGCAAACCGTTAAATACAGCATGTTCAATAATAAGATGCTAGCTCAAAGTAGACAATTTCTAAATAAAAGCTACAAGTAGAAAATAGTTAGCAAACAGCTAAAAGCTCAAAATAGCAACAGGCTAGCTAAAAGCAGAAAAGGTCTAGAAGGCGAGGACACTTGATTTATATTATTATTAGCTTACAAGCTAAAAAATCTTCAGATATTAGAATTTGACATATTTTTCTTATTTAACACACAAATGTACCTAAGTTTTTTACTTTCTGTAGCTTTTCTTTTTAAAATTTTTATGTCATTCTGACTTTTCAAGGTTCAACTTTGAGAATGAGACACCAACAACAAACTTTGATACGTTTCCAGCAGCCATCCTCACTGTGTTCCAGGTAGGATAACACCTGCTTCACACTTTTTGAATAAATATAAAAAAATCAGGTCCCCCTTCTCTTTTTTTTTTTTTTTTTTAGCAAGAAATTTGTTCTTTTCATTTTTAATTAGTGGGAATGAGCAGCTCCGTGCTTTTCGTGTACCCTGATGAGCTTTGTAATAATCCTTCAGTCAGTCTCGTCCCTCCATAAAACCATTTAATTCTGCAGTGTGTGAGATTTGAACGAGCTTATTAACGCCTTTTGTTCCCGTCTTGCCCAGATTCTGACCGGCGAGGACTGGAACGCTGTGATGTACCACGGCATCGAGTCTCAAGGAGGCGTTCGGCGTGGCATGTTCTCCTCCATCTACTTCATCGTCCTCACACTCTTTGGAAACTGTATCCTCTTTTACGCAAAACTAGAGGGCGAAGATTTCAGTCATACGTGGTTACATAACTTTGTTACACAACCAGAACGTTTTGGTTTGTGGCCTTCTTAAGAATAATCTCAAACCCTTCAACAGTTGGTGTTTGGGACCCTGTACACATAATGTTGGATATTTTGTAAAAACAAAGGTTTCTGCTTCATTAGCTCCTCTTGTTGCCATAGAAACCAAGGTTTCACTCTCTTTGTGTTAGTTGGAAGTATGGAGCTGTTCATTTTGTACAATAGAAACCAAAACAACAATAGAGAAGTTTTTTTTTTTGTTTTTTTTTAATTGTTTTATCCTGATCCTTCCACCTTCAAACTCGGTTTGTGTGCTAAAATGGTTTATAACAAAAATTAATTTATAAATAATATAAAATAAATTGAGTTTTGAAGTAATCTTTAGCCAAGTTAAGGTTTTTTTTCCCCCTCCGTTTTAATGCGGGGCAGCACGGTGGTGCAACTGGTAGAGCTGCTGCCTCTCAGCGAGCAGGTCCTTGGTTCAAACCCTGGTCCGGGGGCCTTTCTGGGTGGAGTTTGCATGTTCTCTCCGTGCATGTGTGGGTTGTCGCCGGGTACTCCGCTTTTCCACCGGCGACCCCTGTGACCCAGAAGCGGGTAAAAGATAATGGATGGATGGATGTTTTAATGCACCACCTAGTGGTGAAGTTTGGGTGTTTCAGCATTTTTGTTTAAACGTGATACGTTGGTGTCAGTTTTTGTTCATCCAGGATGTGAGAACATCCATCATCCATCCATCATCCATTCATCACCCATCCATCCATTATCTGTCCATCCATAATCAATCCATCCATCCATCCATCCATCCATCCACTATCCATCATCCATTCAGCCATCCATTATCCATTCAGCAAACCATCATCCAACCATCCATTCATCCATCCATTTTCCATCCGTACATCATCCATTATCAATCCATCCATTCATTCACCTATCCACAATCCATCCACAATCCATCCATCATCCATCCATTCATCCATCATCCATCCATTATTCATCCATCCATCCATCCCTTATCCATCCATTCATCCATCCTTCCATCCACAATACATCCATCTATCATCCACAATCCATCCATCCATCATTCAACATCCATCCATCAGCCATCCATTCAGCCAGCCATCATCATCCATCCATCATCTATCTATCCATCATCCAACCATCCATTTTTCTATCCATTCATCCATCCATCCACAATCCATCCATCCATTCAGCCATCATCCATCCATCCAACCATCCATTCTTCCATCTGCCATCCAACCATCCATCCTGCTTCTTCTGTTCTGGGTCATGGTGGAGCTGGTGGTGAAAACCTACATTGATGGTTTTGGAAGTCAACTTTATATCTAACTCAGTTTTTTAGAGTCAAATTCCTGGTTTACTTTTTAAAGAGGTCTATTTAAAAATACATTTTTTCTTCTCAAGTTCCTTTTCAAATATATTTTCTCCTGAAAGTTGTGGTTTAGACACCCTCCTGAACGTCTTCTTGGCTATTGCTGTTGATAACCTCGCCAACGCCCAGGAGCTGACTAAGGTGGGCCGCCACCATCTCTTATTTTAACATGAATCCTGTTTTTAAAAGTGGTTCATTAAATCTTGTCTGTGCACGTACAGCTGACTACACGATACACAATCTTTCATGTCTTGGTTCTGATTGGCTAAAGGATGAAGAGGAGCAGGAAGAGGCAGCCAATAAGAAGCTGGCCCTGCAAAAAGCTCTGGAGGTGAAGGAAGTCAGTCCGATGTCAGCTGCCAACATCTCCATCGCCGCGTAAGTTTCCCTTCATCTCATGCCCTCTGACCCAGCCCTGACCAGTCCCACGCTGGAAATAAATCTTATTTATTTCTCAGATCTTCTCCTCTCTGTCTGCGTTTGGTTTGTGTCTGACCTGGATTCCTCCTCGTTTATTCCCATTTTGAGAGTGCTCTTGTTGTGTGTCACCCAGACTATTGATCGTCAGGCAATTAAGGAAGAATCGACAAAAAAAACAAGTTTCTACAGTTTTTTTTTTCCCCACCTATTTTTTTTTTTAAACTCATTTGCCCCTTGGCTTTGAAATATTTTGCAAAATGGCATTTTATTTCGAAAGACATTGGTCCATGTTGGACAAACGGAGCATCTAAAACACTAACTCTTAACACTTCCTGCTCTGTTATTTACACTGTATTTGCTGTTGGTTTTATCATTTAGTTTCTTGGGTTATTTTGCTGTTTGTTAAAGTAATATACCATTATGAACAACAACAAGACCTTTACAAATGCTTACAAGGAAATAAATGCACTTAAAACATTCACAAGGAGTTAGAAAATGTATTTTCTTGTAACTTTAAGGGTTAGTATTGTGCACAGTTGCAGGTTAAGATTGGAGTCATGCAGTTTATTATTCTCAGAAATAAGAGGAAACAGAAGGAGGCAACAAAATGAAGTTCATATCACTTATCTCAAACCTGTGATTGACAGTTGAATCCATGTAAACAAGGCAATATATCCCACCTTCTAACTCTAAAAATGGATCCTAAACAATAGATTTGAGATAATAGGCCTCATATAGATCTCTTCTTATTGTCTGTGCAGATTATGTGTACAGGATGCTAAAACAAAGCATCACAGCTAGGCCTGTCGCGATAAACAATAAATCAATTAATCGCATGATAAATGAAAATGATCGACCTAATTTTAATTAATCGGCTTTATCATTTCTTCGTGTCTCTCTTTCTACTGAAGACACTGGATGAGAAAAGGCTCAACTCCGGTTCTTCACTGACTCCTCCGTTTCTCTTTAAAATCCATTTTAACCATCTAAAATTGCATTTTTGGATCGCTAAAAACAGCTAAGCGGAGAAGCTAAGCTACAAGCTAAGCTAATAGGAAAAACCTCCGTCTTGTCGAAGCTCCAAAATTCACGGTTGAAACTCGTGCCTTCGTGTAAAAAGTTGTTTTTCTCTGCGAAAAGAAGCTGAGAACTTGTTTACTGATTTTTTTTTTTTAATATTAAAAGCTTTGTGTGAAAAATGCTAAAGAGCTCAAACCACACCGAGCGTCCGCCATTTTGAGAAACAAAAACAGGAAGGAGCGACAGCTCATGTCATGTCAAGGGCCCTCCCTCCCATTTTTCTTAAATTGACACGTTGCTCACTCCCTCACTATCCATCCTTCGGTTCAAACTGTCTTATACTGCCATCCGGTGGTTAAACAAGGTACTACATACAAAACAAATGAACCAACATTTCTTCTTAAATTTGACAATAATTAATAATTATTGTCAAATTTCAAACAATATTATCGTTTATCGCAATAATTTCTGAGACAATTAATCGCCCAGCACGATTTGTTATCGTGACAGGCCTAATCACTCCTTAATTGCCATCTTTTACTCTCAGAATGACGTCATTTAGACTAGAAACTAACCAGTGCTGTGCAAATCACCGGTTAGTTTACGTTCCAAACCTTCTCCTTGTTGTCCTGTGCTCTCGTGTGTTTTTGGCGTCTTGAGTCTGTTTTGTGTTGTTGTTAAACAGGCGTGTGGTTTTATTATTAACTAACTGTGTTTGTTTGGTTTCTCTAGTTTCATTCCAAAATATCAGTGAAATCCAAAGAGCATGATGTAGTTAGTGTAAATAAAACATTTTAAAAAGACTTTTTTCACAAGCTGACACACTTAGAAGATCTTTATAGTTTGGGCGACATAATTTGGAGGAAATGCGTTCTTGTTGTGTGTAATTTGCTGAACTTTCTCAGATTTGGACTCGAAATGTTGACGGTTAATATAAACGTCACAGATCTGCTCTGTAAGCTGTTAGCGGATTCCTTTCTGTTCGGTTTAAATCCATAGAGGATCATAAATGTCACGCCTGCGAACTAAATTCAACCTTTGGCCGTTTCTCCTGATGCTGCTCCATAATCCAGGTCGAGTCAGGTCCTCTGGACGGATCCTTCTCGTTGAAACGGTTCGTCTGTGAGAAGGTGCTGCGCATGAGACTGGGTTTGTTGCAGCTTCTCAGACTGAAGAAGTCTTCTGGATTAAAGATGAAACGTTTCACCAAAGAAGAGGACCTGACTCAACCTTGTTGGACTTTGGCTGCTCCTTTTTGTCATGGCGGCTTGTTTAACCAAACATGCAGGTCACAACCATCGGTACGCTTGTCCCCCATCGCTGAGGGATTTGAAAAGTGAATGTTTGTAGTTTTTCAGTGTTTTTCTTGTCTAGTATCTAACAGGGAATGCAAGTAAACCGTAATGTTTTTGGTGCGAGATATTCAAGTGGGAGTTGGAGTGTAGAGAAGAACAGAGGAAATCGTTTCTTATTTATTTATTTTTTGCTTGTCCGAGACATTGTGCTAAATCCTGGCTAGTGGGAGGGAGACATTTTATCCACCACCAGCTGCATTGGTGGAGCCAGGGGGAGACCAATGGTGGCCTTGGCCCCCATAGATTAGGCCACCCCAGTCATTAAAGGAAACTATACTTTGAAGCAATAAAACATAGAAAGCACAGTTTCCTGTTTTTCACAAGACTGTGTTTTTGCCCACTCACATGAAGAAGACGAGTTCTAGACTTCTGCAAATTTTGTTCATCAGCAATTTGCAGTCACTGGTGCCCATAACCAGTTATCACTGTGCGACAGGTGGGGGCCACCCTGGACAGGTCTCCAGTCCTTCACAGGGACACATGGAGACAAACGACACAACAACCATTCACTCTCTCGTTCACCTATAGGGACAATTGGAGTTACCAGTCAGTCTAACATGCATGTTTTTGGTCTGTGGGAGGAAACCGGAGCACCCGGAGAAAACCCTCGCATGCACGGAGAGAACTTGCAAACTCCACCCAGAAAAGCCCCCGGCCAGGATTTGAACGGGGCTGATCTTCTCGCTGAGAGGCGGCAGCTCAAGTGTAATACACCCTCTGAGCATCTCACTGAGTGACATTTTAGAAACTTAAAAAGCCACACTGAGCACCAGCGTTGTTTTTTTCAGAGTTAACATTAAATCCAAACCAATTCCTGCATTATCAGAAAAAGTTCTGCTTTTCTTCTCGCTCGGATGGAATTGGTCAGTTTTGTGTGTTCCCCATTTTGGAATGAAACTTCTGAACGTTTTTTATTGTTTAGTGTCCACTGAAGTGATTTATTATTTTGTGGTGATGTTAAAGTGGCTTCGCTTCGTAGATGTTGTGAAACAGAGTGGGGTGGGGGGGGTTCAGGTGGACGGACAGACCCGTCCATTTGTCCCCTTCACTTTTATGCCTCATTATTTTCTTTTGTTCTGCATGTGCAGTTTTGTAAAGCAAAATCGAGATGCACTGTCTCACAGGTCGTCCATCATCAGCATTCAGTCACCGTGAGTTATCGCTCTCTATGATTTTCTCTTCTCCGTCCTTCACCTCCTTTTCCTTCAACATTCCCTCCGTTTCTTTAACTCCCACCTTCCGTCTCCTGTCTCCCCTCCGTTAACTCGTGTCCTCTCTTTTCCTCTCCTCAGCTTTGAACCTTCAGATAAATGATGTATCGTTTCTATTGACTGCTAGAAGAGTGAAGTTTTTTTTTACATAGCGTAAAAAGTACAATTGTCTGAAATCACGGAACAGGAGTGGAAACGGTTGACGGTAAACATTTCAGCCTCACGTTCAGCATCGTGTTCTCTCTCAGCTCGTCGACGGCCATTCTTCTGCCGCCTCATTTCAAGGATTTAAGAAAATGCCAAGTCAGCATTCACATTGTTTCTTTTATTTATTTATCTTGTTTGTTCTGCGATCAAACTGCTTCTACACACTTGTGCTATTTTACCCAAAAATCAACAGCTCGATTGAGGAACACGTGCTCCGACTTTTTGTTTTTGCAACTTAAATTTTTTAATAATTTGACTTTATTTTCAAGTATTTTCCCATAGAAACGATCGTTTCTTCAGTTCCTTCAGAAACATTGTTTCTTTGAAATCTGCTTCAGCAAACTGGCTCTTTTTGTCCTCCTGTGCTTCATGTACTTTTTAACTACCATTTAGCCATATTTCCCCTTTAGCAATAGCATTGACAATTGTTGCTATTAGCTTCGTGTTAATTTTTTTAGTTAGTTTTCACTTTTTCTACACTTTAGCTTACCTTTTGTGTTAGTTTTGTTAAGTGTAGTTTTGTTTTGCTGTCTTTTGCTGGTTTAAGCTTTCTAGCTACTGTTTGTTGTTTTAACTCTTTAAAATTAGTTTTATCCACAGTTTTTCTAGTTTTGGCTTTTGGTAACAATTTTTTTTTCAGATTTAAGCTTTTGGATTTGTTAATTGTTGCTTTATTTGTTTTGATGAACCCATCAAAATAAATGTTAGCTTTTAGCTGCTGTACTTCAAGTTTTACCTACTGCTTTAGATCATTTTAGCCATTATCTACAGTTTTCTTGGTCTTAGTCTTTAGCTACAATTTAGCAGATTTTTGCTTTTTTGTTTTAACTATTAATAAGTTAACTTACTTTAGGTATTAGCTATTATCCTGCTTGTTTTAGCTGTTAGATACTGCTCTGCTTGTTTTAGCTACTGTTTTGATTACTTTAGTTTGTAGCTTTTTTGATCATTTGTGCGTCTGTTTGGATAGTTTCAGCTTCTTCAGCAGAAGTCTTTCAGCGTTCACATAGTATTTTAGCAGAAAACGCTCGTTTTTTTTCTTGGTACTCCAGTCGTTGCCGTCATCGTAGGTAGTCTGACATTTCCAGTATGTTTGTCATGTTAGTTGAGACTCAAATGTTTTTTTTTAATGCAGATGTTTACGTTTCTCACAAATGAACACTCCTGTCCCGTGACTGTAATTTACCTCTTTATCTCTTCTGTAAGCATGCAGACTGTCTGTACGTGTGTTTGTGGTTACCTGTCCCGTGTCCTCTGTCTGTGTGTCTTTTAGGACTTATACTGTCTACTGCTCCCCTACCCGCCGTGTCTTTCAATACAGGTGACCAAATGGAAAATAATTTCATCATAAATTACCATATGATTGACCCATACTGTTCACAGGCAGTACTTACATAAGCGTTTAAAACAATGAAAACATCCATTTTGATGTTTGTTTGTTTTCTCTTGCACTTGAATCGATGTTTGCAAAAACATTGGTCACATTTCTTTAGTCATTTCTTCTTCTGCTCTGTTGGACGTTAATACCGAGCGCCCCATTTACACACAAGAGGCTCACTCTGGATTAAATAACCACAAGCTAACTTTGACAGCAGGGTTTGCCTCTGAGGTATAAATCTTTTCTTTGGAAGCTGTGGGATGGAGGAGAAGGGTTCTGGTATTGATTTCCAAGAGTAATGAGGATGTGCAGAGCTGTAGTACCTACAGAGGAATGAAGTTGATGAGCCTTACATTGAAGTTACTGGGGATCGTTGTTGAGACCAGGTTCAGACGTTCAGTGAGCAGCTTCATGGTTTCATGCAGAGAACTCTACTGATGTGATGTTTGCTTTCAGAGTGTTGATGTAGGAGAGAAGGGCAGAAGGAGCTGGACGATATATTTGTGGATCTACAGTAAGCTGATGATAGGGATCCAAGAAAGAGCATGTCAGGGTTGTGCAGGGCATGCAAGAGAACAATTGAGCAGATTTTCAGTAGGACTGACAGATGGGTTCAACGTGGGTGAGGAGTTAAATAAGAGGTCAGCTTCTTGTTTTTATAATGGACAGATTGTTAAACAAGGGCAGGACAATTCATGAGATGCTATGGATTATGATGGTTGCAGATTACATCTGTAGTGAAAATAGAGAGCAGGTGGAAGAGAGCCTGGAGATGTGGCATGCTCTGGTATGTATGGTAGAATCAAAAGATAATCCACATGTATGAATGTGAGGTAGACCGTGAGGCTGCAAGGAGTGGAGGTGCTGAAAGTGGATGAGTTTAGGTACCTGGAGTCAACCATTCAAAGCAATCCATCAGTTCGCAAGAGAGCGGCAGGAGAGAGTGGAGGCAGGGTGGAGCAGATGGACAGCTGAATGGGTAGAAGGGAAGGGTTATGATATGGTGACACCTGCTGAGATGTTTGGTTTGGAAACGATGGCTCAAATCGACTGACAGGAGGAGGATCTGGAGGTGAGCTTCTTCATATTTTCATTTTTAGGGACCAAAATGGACAAGATTAGAAGTAGGTCCATCAGATGGACAGCTCAGGGTTAGAGACAAAGTTAGAGAGGAGATGCTGAGATGGTTTGGACATGTCCAGATGTGGGACAGTGGGTATATTGGTAGAAGGATGTTAGAAAAGCAACTGCAAATAAAAAAAGACCGAGGAGATATATGGATGCAGTTGGAGAGGACATGGAGGCAGCTGAAGTGAGGACAGAGGACACAGAGGACAGAGTGAGATGGAGGACGACTCGCTGTGAAGACCCCTGAAGAGTGGACAGCTGAAAAACAAAGATGATTCTGTTTTGTAAAAATGCTTTGGGGTTTGAAGAACAGTTCTTGGATTCTGTATTGGATGTTTGACAGTAAAGAATGGAGTTTGAGTTCAGTATCTAAAGGAAGATGGATTCTAACTTCTGGGATCTATGACTTTAAAATAAAGTTAAAAAAAACCTGAGCTGGATCTGACCATGGAAATGTAAACAGTAAGTTTAAAGTCTAATTTATTTGAAATGAGCCGTACCTCAACGGAAAAATGAAACATAAACACATTGTCTGTGAGACGAGGTCATTTAGCTGATCTTTGGTTATTTTTTCCACACTTAGCACTAACCAGGCCCCAAAAACTCAGGCACCTCCAGACAGTTTTCAAACGGATGGCTAGATGGGGACCACTGATAACCTTTGAGTTGGACACCAAAACCAAAAGCTGCAATAAAATTTCAGTTTTCTAATGCAGAAAACTCAGATAAATGTATCGGATATGGGTCATTTCAATAATGCTGCAGAGCAGGAGTTAGAAGACCTGAATTCTGAACGACACACTCACTCAACTCATTAAAGTGTCTTCTTAATTTATAATCCCAATTGAAACTATCCCCTGGTGCCATGCTCACTATAGATCTGCTGAGATTGGCTAGAAATTTTCTAGTTTTAGTGAAAACATACTCAAATGTAGCATGCATAAACATTTTTGTCTTTCATTGAATTGCATTGACTTTCAAAGGTAATCAGTCGAGATGCACATCCAGTGATTAGTAAAAATCTGTCCAGTGAGTTACGAGATATTTTACGAACAGTATGACCGTCTGACCAAGGTAACCAGTGGTGGGGCAGCACAATTATCGGGGTGGCTATCGCCTCCCACTTATCCCCTCCTTGGTGGCACCTCTGTCCAGAGAACAGATCATGTCATTAATCCTCTCAGCGCTGAAACATTTCAAACATCTCAAGTGTTGGATGCTTCCCCACATTCTTCTACATGTTAAGTGAAAACTTCAACATGGTGACCATTCTAACCAGCACATCCATAGCCCTGAATTTACCTTTCTTACCAGTCAGAGGCTTCCTGAGCATCATGGAAAACATGTTTCAGCTTTTAGCTTCTATGGATGGAACTATTTCCCAAACCCCAACGGGAACCCATTGCATAGAGAAAAGCCGAATTAACAGAACTGTTTTTGTTTTTCACATTTTTTAAATTGATCTTTGGTTTGATGCCTGCAGCAAGGAGCAGCAGCGGTCTGCAAAGACCATGTCCGTGTGGGAGCAGAGGACCAACCAGCTGAGGAAGCACAACATAAAGGCGAGCACCGAGGCCTTGTTCAACGAGCTGGACTCTGAGGAGCGCCTCAAGATGTCCACCGCCCTCCATCTGCACCCCGACATGAAAACCCACACGGATCGGCCACTCGTGGTGGAAACCGGCAACGGCGACAAAACCAGCTCAGGAAATCCGGAGGAGATGGGAGGTCCCAGACAGGACGGGCTGGGAGACAGCTTACCCGTTCACACCAGGAGGCATCATCGCCACCGTGACCGGACTGTCGAGGGAGGTGATGGTCGAGGAGGGAGGCACCACGCTCATCACCGGAGCAGGGAACACAATCCAGATGGTTCCCAAATAAAAGAGAAGGGAGGGAACCATGATGGGGGACACAGGCACCACCACCAGTCTGAATCCCCTGAGAGAGAGGTCAGTGATGCAGGAGGAGAGGACAGAGGGCATCGCCATCATCACACCCATCGAACACCAAAAGAAGGAAATGGGCGTTTGGCAAACGGAGCTCAGGAAGAGAGCAGAGGGAGAGGAGAGGGTAACGCAGAGAGAAAGATGCACTATTCTCGTTTGGCTAAAGCTCAGTCCACTCTGACCAGAGACGACTGCGGGAGGAACAAGAACGGGTCCAGAAGTTACAGGTGCTCTTCTTTCTCTACTCATGTTCCCAAAAGGTTTTCTGAGTGTCATGATTTTATTGTGAAAAGACGACAGAAACTAGCTACAATAATAAACAAATGCAGTCATGAGAAGAAATGAGTCCATCCTCTGAATTCTAGGGTTTTACAGGTCAAAATATAATTAAATGACCTGGTTTTAAGATTATTAAAATATAACCTCAGTTGAATGAAAACACACATCAGGTCCATGTTGATGTTTTGGTTTAAGAAACAAAAACAAAATGGAAAATCTGTAAAAAAAAAAAACCAAAGTCCATCCTGCTGCTTCTATAAGATTTTAGAGGTTCAGGATCTGCCAGGAGCTGCCGATTAACTGATGGGACCACCTACGGAAAGGCAGGAGCTTTAGCTGCTCTGGAGCCTTCAGGTGTGCTTCAACACAACTCCAAGGTGGAAAGACATCTGCAATGACCTTAGCGAAGCAGTTGTTTCTGCCCATTAATCCAGGAAGGGTCAAAGGTCATTTTCAAACAATGCAAAGTCCATCGTTCTACAGAGACCGATTATGGAACAAAATGTTCTCTTCTCAGGGAGAGGCCGGCAGACACCGAGGACGATAGCCTCGCCGGCAGTCCTTTACAGCCGAAGCGAAGCAGTTTGACTCCCAGCGAAAAACAGGAAGACGCTGACAACCAGAAGAACTCCACCAGAGCCAGTCAGGCGGGACTCAACAGCAACGCGATCCACGTCCCTGTGACCATCACCGCCCCACCTGGAGAGACCACCATCATACCCAGTTAGTCCAAAATATTACTTTTACAAGTCATTGGTTTTAATGTTAACTACATGCAAACATATCAACAAGTACTTCGTTTTAAACCTGCCGTGTTTCTAAAATATGAACTGAGGACAGCGTTGTCGCCAACTACTGGACTGGAGGAAGCAACTCTAGACCCAGAAGTCAAACATTGGGATCCAGTTGATGCAAAAGTTTTGCAACCATTCAAGGACTGGCATGACACTGGCAATACAGCAAGCCGCCTTCCATGGCAACGTTTGGATTAAAGTGATTTTATGCTAAGAAATAACAACATAGCTGTTTTCCAAATCCTATTATATTGATGTAGGAAGGCATGTTAGCACTCAGAGCACGTGTCAAAGATGACTCTCAGCTACTATAACGCCAAAGTTTAGTACATTATCAGTTATAATGGATGGTTTAGCTTTTTTTGTGTTGGCTACGGTCAATTAGTTGTGGTAGCCATTTTAAATTGATCCCAAATTTCAATCCCTTCTTATATCCAGTTATTACTTTCTGAGAGTTTTGCCACACTTTATTCATTGGTCCATGAAATATTTTGCTAACAGACACACATGGTTGACATCAACAGTTAATGCCAACGTTTTAAGTATTGTTGATTATGAGTTGGGGTTGATGCTCAGCTACTACCACGCCAAAATTTAGCTCAACATCTGTGGAATCGTAGTCAACATTCAATGGTTAATTTCTGGGTCTATGTCTCTTATAGCTGCTATAAATCAGTGCTATTTGTTGTTTTTCCTCCAGTGAACAACATCGATTGTGACAACTTCCAGCTCAGTGAGGAGAAGAAAGATCTGGAAGAGGAGGAGGCGGCTAATGGGCCTCGGCAGATCCTTCCCTACAGCTCAATGTTCGTCTTTGGACAGACGAACCCGTAAGTTACAGCCGGGAGGTGTCTGAGTGGAGCTGCACAACTACGCATATAACTACACAACCAAACAAAAAAACAGCAACTCTGTTTTGTATTAAAGCTGCTCAGAACATTCTGTTAAAGCAATCCTCTCAGTAATATGTCAGTACTTATCCACCATTTAACCGATAATGTTCTATTAACTTCAGTAAATATATTTTTCATGGGATAATTAACTTTCTTGTCTCCATTCCAAAGCAACATGACCCCCGTTAGACCCCCCCCCCCCCCGTCTAGAATTGAATTATTTAGGCAATTTACTTTATTTTAAAAACTCTATCCTAAAATCACTTGCATGATATGAATATGTACAGTTCGTCCTTTAAATGGTCTAAATAAAATAAAGACAAATTAATCTCAAAAGTAGTCACACAAATGTAAAAGTTTTACAAAATCATAAATGTTTTTTTTTTATGTCAAGGCTGGTGAAAGCTGGGACTTGTGAGCCTCACCAGATTTACTGTGTTAATGGGAAAATACTCATTCCTAACTTGTCAGTCATAATCTCTATATTCATTCCTACAGTCTATAAAATTAACTTTTTTTTTTCTTGTTGAGAAACTACCGGAAAAATATAATTCCCAGTATTTTTTTTTGTGTGAACTGTATATTTGACATAAATTACTTAAAATGGTTAGGTTACTCTTCCTCTACAAAAACGACTGTAAAAATATATTTTCCGGTATTTTCTTACTCTGCAAAAAATATCAGAATATATATTTTTTTCTGTTTTTTTGCCCAAAAAGAAAATGTTAATTTTGTGGCTTGTACAGACAAAATAAACTTTACAAAATGGTTATTCATCACGTGTAAAAACACAACAAGAAAAAAAATTCTGATAATATATAAAATTTTCTTGATTTGTGAATCTTTTGGTAAGTTTGTGGATATTTTTGTAGGCGTACAAATCTTGCGGCACTCTTGTGTGACTACTTCTGAGACAGATAGGTCTCCATAAATACAAAGTGTTCGCCTTAATTCTGTCAGTCTGAGACTTGTGGTTGAATCAGAAGATCTTAAAGCTTTAAATGAGATCTGTTTAAACTCCTTTACGCTGACGATGTGATGGTTTGATTAGAACCTCATCTGGACCACAGTGGAATTGTTTTCAAGTGTTTGTTACACGCTGTGACCTGCGTGTATCTGGTTATGGGTTGCCATTTTTATACGCTCTTCAAAGGCATACAACATACAAGCAGATGAGAAAAAGAGAACACCAAGGTGGAGGATGCAAAGAAAAATCATGTTTCACACCATTTCCTGACTGAGGCACAGTGTGAAAGATGTAAAAAAAAGACCTCTCAACATAAAACATTAACATACAATGACATCATAATACATTTATGCACAGAGGTCGACAAAGGCAGTGAGTTGTCCATAAACACTCCAGAAAGTTCCAAAGTTCTGATAAGATGGTACAGTGTCTATCAGCATCATGGTTCTGATAAGGCCACAGATGTCCTCGAGAAGGGGGGGCAGGCAGAAGCTTTTAGTTGCGTATCCTCCAGGAGCAATTTGAGATAAGTTGGTCTGTCCAAGGCCAGTGGGGAGGCCAAATTCAGATGAACAACAATTGTTTGCACCGACAGACTGTTTTCTGTCTGCCTTCAAATTCTGCTGGTACACTCAATGGTGAATCCAAACAGCCAGATTTGTAGACATTCCGCCCGGTCTGTGCTCGATTAGCTTCCTCCAAGATTGAAACCTTCGTGCTGGTGAGTTCCAGGAGCTGCAAGTGGCACAGAAATTGCATCCAGCTTGCGGTTGAGCTCTGTAAGCATATGAGTCTGAGAGCTCAAGACACGGATTAGTCCTTCACATAAGGCTGGCAGCTTTACCACGGCCGAAACTGCTGCTGACGTCTTCCTAATTCGTTGATGTCCGAGGTATCAGCTGATTCCATAAAGCAGAAACCCTGTTATCATAAATCCAACAATGTACACATCTTCTACGTCCTCCACGAACAGAACAGACAGGCACATCATCTCCCACTGCCCCCAGTAATCCCTGACATGCCCAGCTGCATGGGTCTGTTCAGGGCATGTGGGCTCTCCAGCACCCTGTCGTCTGGTGGAAAAGAAAATCAGTTGCGTTGAGGGACCAGCTGACCAGATCCATAATAATTTTTGATTCAGAAGACGTGTAAAGAGACGCTCGGAGGTTGACAGGACAAGAGAGCAAAAAAAAAACAGGAGGGAGGGAGGGAGAGGGTGAGAGCGACAGTCTTCGTCAAGAGCGAAAGAGAATGTGATGATGGGTCGTATGCTGTACTCCCGTTCATGTGTGTGTTTATATGTGCATGATCCTGCAGCGTGCGGCGCCTGTGCCACTACGTGGTCAACCTGCGCTACTTTGAAATGTGCATCCTGTTGGTCATCACCATGAGCAGCATCACGCTGGCGGCCGAGGACCCGGTGCAGGCCAACGCACCGCGGAACAACGTGAGTCGAGCTGACGTCTGGTCTTCATAAATAATTATGAGGAGTGCAACAAACACGTGCACGTGCATTTACACAATAATGCGCATTCACAGGAGCAAACAGGGATTTACACACAAATATCTCTCATTTGAGCTGATTCGTTTGGACCGAGAGAGAAAAAGTTTACATGTATGGAGGAAAAAGAAGCACAAACATACATTTTTGATGAAGTAGTTTATCTGTTCTACAGTGACTCGATGTAAAATGCTTTAGAACTGTTTTTATTTTTATTTTCACATTTAGATTAGAGGTGAGGCACATGGATGCAGAGGTGTTGTTTTTATTTTGACAGACATGATTAGTATTTCAGTCAGGACCTCGGAGAGACGCTGTGCATCACGGTGAATGTTTGTGAGAGCAACGCTAACCGAGCCTGGACCAGAACCATCGCTCACTCCGTCATCGAGTCCATCTACTGAGTCATCTTTTTGTTGGGTTTGCAGGTTCTGAAATATCTGGATTACGTCTTCACAGGAGTCTTCACGTTTGAGATGGTGATTAAGGTGAGAACCTTTTTTCTACTCGAACATGTCAATAAATTCCCTCCGGAGAGATCGGATTGCAGTCAGATGGAGCTAAATGCAGGTCTGAATGTCCTCCGCACGCGTTGGATAGGTCTTCACTGTGGTCTGGACCGCTTTGATCCACACACGTTTGGTAGTCCATCATTCCAAGCCTTGATGTGGGACCTCCAGCTGAACTTACATGACCCCACACAGGCAGCACTGTCACTGACCAAATCACTTTTACCAGATTTTTGTCCTCGAGCAGAAATTTAATTTCAGTTCCAAACAGGTTTCAACCTTTTCCTTCTTTTATCAATGGAATGACTATTTATCAATCATACCATGTCCAAAATCTTCTGCCGCTTCTTTTCATTGTTCTATCTTCAGGGGTCTCCACAGAGAGGCCCTCTCCTCCATCTGTCCTCCAACTACCTCCATGTCCTCTCTTACTGCACTCATATGTCTTTTCTTTGTCTTTTTCCTGGCACCTGAATTTCTAACATTCTTCTACCAATATACCCGCCATCCCTCCTCTGGACATGTCCACACCACTGTCCCTCCTCTGGACATGTCCAAACCATCTCAGTCTGACCTAACTTTATCCTTGTCCCCCAGTCGTCCCACCTGAGCTGTACCTCTGTTGATATAAATATTTCATTGTGATGGTCAAAATCCGAGTTCAGTCTGAGTCCCATCAGGACTTTAATGTTCTTGTTTGTTTTTAGTCCATTTTGTGGTGTTCTTTTATTCATTTTACGTTTTTTCCTGTTGTTTTTTATCTAATTGGTAAGAAACTGTGGTCAACCTGATATTTGACTTCCTGTTCCCGGTTTGACTCCAGATGATCGACCTGGGGTTGCTCCTCCACCCCGGCTCGTATTTCCGCGACCTGTGGAACATCCTGGACTTCATCGTGGTCAGTGGCGCTCTGGTGGCATTCGCCTGCTCGTAAGTCCCTTTGAGTCCACATCGTTCTGTGTCACTTGTTACTTTATATTCCCATTAGAACGGCTGTTGTCTTTTGTCATGTGTCCATGACTGAAGCTGGCTACCATGAAGCACATCAACTCTAGTTGTGTGCGTTTTACTCTTAACTGCCTAAATGGGCCCATTCGTGTGTTGGTGTTAAACTTTAAGGTTTTGCTGTTGGTTCTATATTTATGGCAGACTCTTCTTGTATTGGAAGGCTCTTATTTCTTGTCAAAGACTAATTATTTTAAAATTAATCAAGAAGAAGCTGAAGAGCTTTGTTTTACATGTACTCTGAATCTTTTGTGGACATTTTGCTTCATATTAAAGGACTCGGATTTACAGCCGGAGGATTTATTTAAACAATCATAAAACTGTTTCACGTTGTTCCGAGATTCTTGCAATCTGGATTTCTGTCTTAAAGGTGGCAACAATAAAACTAGTTGCTTTATGATAATTGGGGATGCACGATATTATCGGCACGGTATCGGTATCAGCCGATATTAGCGATGAAGTTAAATATCGGACATCAGCCATTCCATCAAAATAACTCACCGATATAAAATTTGCTGTTCATATATATAAGTATATTTAATATTTATATAGTGTTACATAATTTTCAGCCACCTTTTTGGCATCTGCATTTGCTAGCAGGCCCAATTGACAAAGACCATGCAGAATAATGTATTTTAATTCTACAGCAGAGAAAGCTATGGAGTCTCCTTAAGTAGGTCTATGGGGGAAAAAATATCGGTATAGTTATCGGTTATTGGCGAAATAAGTTTTAGCATATCGGCATATTGGATATCGTCCAAAATTGCAATATTGTGCACCCCTAATGACAATAGTGGAACACGATATTACACTCTCAGACGTTATGTTTACAAAAAGTAGTATTTTTATGACACTGGTATAAATCAGGTTTGACCAACCTTAGCACTGATAATCCTGATTTTTCACTTTCGTTTGCAAGATTGTTTATTCTTTACCTCTTGGAGAATTGCCTTGTTGGTGAAAATTCAACATTTACGTCAAACCGAATCGTTAGTTTCAGCTTTTTTACGTCTTGGTGAAAATCTGCTCTCAGAGTCTAAAAACCTTATTTAAGTTTAGTTTGTTGGTAAAAGTTGTGGCGTTGACACAACGTTGGTTTATCCCTTGAGGTTAGGAGCCTTTTTATGATTCATAATCATTTTTATTCCTCTGGCGTTGGTCTGGATTGAAACTGGCTAAAAAGCAGCCAAAGTCCAAACCGTGTTTAAAACGACCTGCAAAAATTGTGATGGGCTTTTGATAAAGACCCATTTAAAAGATTAAAACGTGTGAACAGTTCTTATGATATTTACGTGTAAGTTTGTTTTATCTGTGCTAGTTAATCATTAAACTTATTAGCTCGGAGTCTTTGGAGGTTACCGGCAGTTGTTTTCCTGTTTTTGACGTGTTGACTGAGCTAAATGTTCTTGTGGTTTGCAGATTTTGCTTTGCGTGGTCCAGACGTCTTTTGTCCTTCCTACTGCTGCTTCTCTTTGTCTTTTATCTGTCGCTCAGTCTTTTTCTTCCTCTGCTTGTTTTCCTTTCCTGTTTTCTGGCTTCGACTGCTTTCAGGAGCCTTATGGGGTAACGTGCGCTCTTTCTGTTTATCTGTTTTCTGCTTTCCTTCATGTTCATCAGCCACTGTCGTCTGAGTTTACGTCTGCGTCGGCCTTTCTCTCGCAGCTAAATGTTTTGAGCAAATGTCATATTTTATCATCTGCAGTTCTTATCGTCACTCGTGATTGAAGAAACTGGCATTTACTCAGCTGCTCTGCAATTATCAGATACTTTATATTTTACTTTTATTTTATTTGATAGTTTAAGATGTAAACAAGGGAGCTAAGCTGCTTCTGTTTATAATAAAGGCACAAAAAAAAACCGAGTAAATGTCAGTTTTTTTTTATGTTTAACACAATGACATTAATAAAATAAAATAAAAATCATTATTCACTACAGGAATTGTTTTATGCAAGCATGTTCCTTTTTTCTCGTTTGCACAGGTGAATTAAATTTGGCTCCAGGTCAATTTGTCAATTTGTACCTTTGCAGTTTTGGTCAATTCATACCTTTGTGGGGTACAAAAATATGATTTTGCTTTGTACTTGACTCAGCTCGCTTCATACCCACTTTTGTTCATTTTCTACTCTTGGTTGCAGCTGTCTTTCACTTTGGGGGACAAAAATAAATAAATAAATAAATAAGCAGATCTTAAACAAGTTTTAGTTTAGAGTTTCAGACTTCATTCAGAGTAGAAAAATATCCTCGGCTCCCAAGAAATTTCAATTCTTCTCCAGAAAACATGAAGCTCCTAAAACATTTTTTGTTTACCCAAAAGGCACGAGCAGAATCATCTTTAATGCAGCCTAAATAACAAATTAAATCCTTCCTGTTTTCACCATCTATATATAAATGTAGCATCGACATGTCGTCTTACCGACTCGCGTGAGCCCAAAGTGCACGGACGAAGCGTAAGGCTCTCTGGTGCTCAGAGGAGGGAAAAAGTGACACAGGAACAAAGTTAATTGATTTCTCTGTTGCAGAAATAACAATAAAAATCACTTTTTTAAACACCAGCTGATGTTCTACAGCAAACTGAGCCGAGACGAAAACTGGTCCTGGGTACGGACCGGTGCCGAGACTCATCGTTTGTCGCCTGCTAACGTACGATATGAAACCGTCTTGTGTTTTAGTCTATGTTTTATCTTTAGGACCCAGGTTGTCCAATTTATTTATGTTAAAATCTACTCATAACTTTGCCTTTTCCAGCCACTTGAAGAGTGATTTACTAAATCCTTCGTATTAATAAAACAATAAAATCCTTGACAGCTGGCCTTTAAGCTGAACTTTATCTGAGATCGTACATGAAATCACTAAATATCCTCTGCACCAAACAACCTCAAGTAGTCAGACTAAATCAGACTATCGTGAGAAGAGTCGTCTTCATAAACCTAAATAACCAGTGACTATTCTATAAATTAAATCAGCTGTACGCAGATAAGATGTTGTAAAATCTTTAAATTCACTTGTTAGAATACATCACTACGGTGGCCCTGAGGTGTAAATAATAACATTTGAGAAAATGGAATTACATTTCAAAAAACAACAGAAACACAACATTTGAAAAAAAAAAAAATTAAAAAAGGAATTACATTTGAAAAAAACAGAATTACATTAAGCTGAAGCGGAAGTGGCCACATTTTTTCAAATTACATTTGAAAATATGGAATTGCCAAAAATAAATAAAACCACCACTTAGAGTTTGGCTTAATGCAATTTCATTATTTCAAATGTAATTCTGTCCACTTCCACTTTGGTCACTTCTGCTTTGGCTTAACGTAATTCTGTTTTTTCAGATGTTGTTAAATGACACCTCAGGGCCACCGTACATCACGGGTATAAATGCCCTTACTTGGAAAAAAAAACTAAAGATGATTGAGAAACTCATGCAGCTCATTCTGTCTCTAAATAAACTACTACTACTTCCTAATAACAAAGTTGTGAAGTCCTCCATTATCCCACAGAGTACACACCCACAGCACAAAATATGGAAATAAGAAGCAACATCTGCACACAGTCAGTGTGATGTGATGGGAATTATTCATAAAGAGATGCAGGATTAACAAGATTAACTACAAGTCCTGAGAACTGGTAACAAGATGAAAATTAATATCATAATTTCACACATCAAGTACACAGAAATAGAAAGTACCTCATCTATATACCCTCTTTTACTAAACAGAATTTGACTGAAGTTATTGTATTCATTGTGGTTTGAACCAGCACGTTTCTCTGTTTATTTGATTTTATGAAGGAAATGTTTAATGCACAGAGTTAACTTGTCTTCTGTATTTACAGTGAAACAGACAAGAGTCGAATAAAAACCACCAGGGATCATTACAGCAGCTGTAACAAGATCAGAGAGCTACATTTAAGGTTTTAATTTAATCTCATTTTTATTCTAATTTAATCTGAGAGCTACATCTAACGTATTTTATGTAGGGGAAATAAATGTTTACAAAGGCCAGGTTTGGCCTGCGGGCCTCGACTTTGACACATGTATGAACTAACAGAACCAAGAACTGGGCTCACAGTTAGAATATTTAAAGAGGTGGAAGAAGAACAACGTTTAGATTATGAGCAGCGTAAACATCAGCCAAGTAGAGAAAACAAACAAAAAAATCATGAAAAGTGAACGCATGTGAAACAGTGGTGGAGTTTCCTTCAGGACCCGTTTTCAGCTCAGCTCAGGCTGCAGAACATCAGCTGATGGTAAAATGTACCAACGCTGTTTATTGATGAGCAGACAGCTGAAAGTAACGTCGTTCTGCAACAAATTAATCATTAATTTACTGTTTTACTGTACCTGTCTCGTTCTCCCTCTACAAAACTGACTGACAGCTGCTGCTGATTATGACTTAACAACGCTCTTCATGCCTGTGATGCTGGTGAGACATTTTCATCAATCAGTGTTTAAACAGTCTGCGTTCACCAACATTTTCACCACACAGAACATCTATGTGTTGATGTTGGGAAATGACTCCAGCCTCACACTCTGAGCCGTTAGCCTCCTACTCAAAAAGTTATTGAGAAGGCTTCACTAGGTACAAAATGTCTAGAACTGGGTGTAACATGTTCACCATGGAGCCTGAAGTAGCTACTGGTGTGTACAAATAGCAACCAG